GCTCCCAGCCAACCCTGGCCCCGCACCCCGCTCAGCCCCGCCCCGGCCCCGCGCCCACGGTCACCCCCAGCTCACAAGGGGTGGGTGTAGCCCCGGGGGGGGCCCGACGTGGGGCCCAAACTGCATTTTTGCAGTTCGGCCCAGGGGGTGCAGGCTGCTGCTGCGCACCCCCCTGTTTTTTTTTGTTTTTTTTTTTTTGTTTTTTTTTTTTGCCGGGGGCGGTCCGGAGTCGGGATCAGGGGTGCCCAACCCCGCACCCCCGCCGGGGCCTCGGGGCCGAGACTCGACAACCCTGACGGCGGACAGTCCTTGAACAACGCCACGTCAGACACGTATTTCCTGCTACCGTCCCACAAATCGTCATCCAATCCTCGATTCTTGAACTCTTTGAAGACAGCAGACTTCCATTTCATGAAAGGGTACTCTTGGATCCAATCCACGTCCGGCCTCTTCTCGTGCTTGAATTGGTAGTAATTCCACAACCGGACCAGCACGCGGTCGCACTTCACCAACTGCACCATTTCCTGCACGCTCAACTTCCTCAGCTTCTTCAACGACGGGGAACCGGCCTGGACCCAAACGACTTCGCAAGCAAGCACCTTCTTCAGAACGCGACACTTCTCATTGTCGGTGAGTGTTTCCATCGCTTTCCAACAATGCGAGCCCGACTCAGGCACTTGCACGAACCAATCACCCTCCTCTTTTCCCGATTTGGCTTTCTTAGTCGGTGGCTCCACGGGAACGTAGTAAACGACCTCCTTTCTGCCAAACTTATCGTTGTCGACGTAGGCGTCCCCCGGCTTGATGTTTTTGACCTTCTTCTTCTTGAGGATCCACTTTGCTCCGTCGTGGCCCAACAATCTACCTGTCTCCCATTTTTCAAAAAAAAACACGACCAGTTTCTAGACATTCTCTCCAGCCATCGCCAGCGGGAAATAAGAACGCAGGGCATCATTTTGCTTCTTAATGGCGTCCTCTCCCTTTTGATCCGCAAGAATCCAGAAGTTGTTGTACGGTGTCTTATGGAGCGCCATCGTACAAAACTCACTCCATTTCCGGACCTGTTCTTGTTTCCCGCTAGGGTTCCCCATGACAGCTCTAGGAAAACCGTTATGCTTCCACTGCCACCGAATGTCTTTCATGGACAATTCAATTGTCTAGAAGGTGCCTTGAGTCCTTCTTGTTGCCCTGGAACTAACAAGAAAATACCCTTCGAAGTCGTTGTCTGAAAAGTATACACCATTCGTGTGGGCCACCGCTCAAAATTGTACTTCTTGGCCACCTCGCTGCCGAACAGCGATCGGGCTGCAACCGCGTTGTGCTGCCCACACACCGCGTAGTAGTAGTATTGTCCCGCCAGCTCGTCCTTCCATTTCTCCGGCTTCAGACATTGTGCCTTGTTCCCGGGAGTTGGTTTTTGCAGCCCCAATGGTACCAGCTTCAGGTTGGCAACTCGTACGACTGTTCTTTGTTTTTAAACGCCAACTGCATCGCTTCTTTGATCCCTTCAGCGAGGACGGGATCCAGGGACCGCTGGTTGTACAAATCCTCCCACTCCCCGAGGTCGACGACTTGAGCAGGGCTAATCTCGAACTCCCGCTTTGTCTTGACTCCGTCTTTGTACTCCAGGAAGTATCTAACGTCGACATCGATGGCAGGCCGTGGCGAGGAAGGTCTCGACGCAGGCTGCTTCTGTTTCGAAGCTAGACGTTTGCTAACCGGGTGGTCCTGTTCTCCACCCGTTCCCTTTTGTTTCTCCCCCACACTCTTCAGGGTCTTTGTCTTCTGTTTCTTCAAAGAGCCGACAACGTCGTCTTGACGATCTCCCCTCCTCTTTTGCAGAGTGCCCTGCGTTCCCTCTCCGCCCACGGTCTCATCCTCCGTGCCATGGTCCTCGGCAATCTCCAAGTCGACCTCACAGTGGACTGCCGCCTTTCCGGGAGCCGCAGCGACCTCCTCTCGAACTGAAGCTGCTTGTCGGACCCCAGGTATAGACAGCACGGATCGGTCTCTTCGACTCAACGGTGAAAACGTCGGTAGCGATGTTGCCTCATCTTCATTGTCGTCAAATTGACCGCGGAACGGCTCTCCCCCCGCTGCAGCTGAGTGGCCGCACCGGAACCCAAATCCCCCCCCTCCAGCGCAGCCCCGCTGGATTCACAACCGCCGCACAACTGGAAGGGCTTTGACAGCTCCTGGGCGGGGCCGACATCACAGGGGACGTCGAGGCCGACGTCCTTCTCCTCCAACAAGTTAAAAAACTCTCAAGCCGAAACAAACCTGCCCTGCCGAAGGAGGTCGTTGTAGAACAGTGTGTTCACCGCACCCGCTCCAAACCCCTCGAACAAATCCATGTCCAGCAGCGACCCCTTGGAATTAGCGACGACGTCGCCCTTCACACCGTAAACATTTTTCATATAGAATCGTCGACAACTGTCTTTCGCGTCCTCCCACCGCAAGACGGCCCCAGCACTCTACGCTGCTTGTTGGAGTCGACGAAGATGACAGGACCACACGGCTGTTTAACGGGCTTCGAAGCATCTCCACAACACCAGTCGGCGAACCATTTCGACATTGTGTGGTCTAACCACGATTTCGAGGTCGTAGACGACCGTCTTGTGGAATCTTTTCCTGATTCTTTCCCGGAGGTCCCGACAGACTCCCCCTCGCCCCTCGATGAAGACATCGTGTCTGTGGACGACAACGCAAATGAAGCAAACCACCACGCTGTCAGGTTTGGGAAAACCAGAGCAGATACAGTCCAGTCACATTCAAACCACAACGCAGGCGGTAACGAAGCATCACAAACGCAAACGGGAAACACTGTACTTCACACGTCGGCCTCATCACATCTTTTCGAAAGCAAGAAGTTCGGATTACGGCGAACTTCGCACACGAAGCCCTTCAACAACCCCCGTCGAACAACGCGAAAAATCTTTGCGAAGGGAACACACGTCATGGGACCATTCCTTGTGCGGGCCTCGACGTGGCTATCATTTGCACTGGTGCAACAGTGGTGTTGATGGCTGTTGGTGGAAATAACCGAAGTTCGCCGGGATCCGAACTTCGAATACTGCGGGAAGGGCAATGAGGTACATCAGAGTCACGAACACAAAAATTATCTTGGCAGAGTGCAACACGAAACCCTCGGTTTGTGCAAATGGATTTGGACCTCTCTCTCGTTCTCGGCAAATGACGAATTCGTGTCCACAGAGACAGCAAACCACACGACCCTTTCCACATTGCGTGAAGTTTGAATATCGACGAACTTCGGCTGAAACCGTGCGTCGTTGCCGTTCTTCGTTTCCGGTTGAATTGCTAGAACTTTAATTCTCTTGAGTTTTTAAGCACCGTGCGGCATTCGTGTTCGGATGCCGGCGAAATTCAAGTGGTCCACAATCTCATGAGGCCTACCGAATTTGCCCCAGTTGCGATTAAGCATCTCGAAAGACTCCCCGAACACCTGATAACCTACGGAAACCGGAGGGGAATTCTGTTTGTGGAGTGTGAAACTCTGCTCAAAACAGATTCAGATCCAACAAGAAGGCCTACCAAATTTGCCCCAGTTGCGATTGAGCATCTCGAAAGACTTCCCGAACAACTGATAACCTGCGGGAACTGGAGGGAATTCTATTTGTGGAGTGCGAAACTCTACTCAAAACAGATCCAGATCCAACAAGAAGGCACACGAAACTCGCCCTAGTCGTGATTGAGCATCTCGAAAGACTGCCTGAACAACTGATAACCTGCGGGAACTGTAGGGGAATTTTGTTTGTGGCGTGCGAAACTCTTCTCAAAACAGATCTAGATCCAATAAAAAGGCCCACCAAACTCGCCCTAGTTGCGATTGAGCATCTCGAAAGACTGCCCGAACAACTGATAACCTGTGGGAATTGGAGGGGAATTCTGTTTGTGGAGTGCGAAACTCTGCTCAAAACAAATCCAGATCCAACAAGAAGGTCCACCAACTAGGATCTCCATGAGTTTCATGAAGCGCAAAGCTCTCGCGCCGGGGACCGTGTGATCAATGTCCTCCAGATCTGTTCAGGCAGTACGAAACTAAAGATTTTGTGAAGTTCGGATGCCGGCGGCCTTAGATTGTGGGCATGTCATACGAGAATCATTGGGTGGCCCTATTCGTAGCTCGCGCTGCCCCATCACCGAAACCGAAGTCGAAATCCACTGTCGTCGGAGCATAGTGGCCGAGCTCGCGACATGGGCACGCCCCGCCGCGACAAGGGGTTTGTCAACTGGGCGGTTCAGTGGCCTCCGCTCAGTCTGCAAAGTTTGGATGCCGGCGGACTACAATTGGTTTCAAAGCTTCTGGGCGTTGTGCAAAATGCGAACGCAGCAGGACTGCACATCACCTGATGGCGGTGCTCGTTGTGCAATGATTAACATGCGGGGGTGCACCGCCCACAACGCTATTCGATGTAAGGATTCGGGCGGACTTCCTCACTTGGCAGGACTCTGGCGATTTCGTGTTGACATGGACAGCTAACCTCACGACCCTTAGGTAGTTTTTTAAATCCACGGGGCACCGGGGAGACCACAGTCAGATCAAAGGACAGGTGAAAACGCGAAGTTCGCAAGAATCTGAACTTAAGGAGGGTGCGAGAGAGAGAGACAGGATCCGTACTTGTGTGGTTGTTAAAACCCGCGAGGCGGCAATAAGACCACAGTCATAGCAGAGGTCAGATGAAAATGCGAAGCCCACTGACATCCGAACTTCTTCTGCCGTCGGGTATCGCGAAGACAACAGTCAGATCAAAGGACAGGTGAAAACGCGAAGTTCGCCAGAATCCGAACTTAAGGAGGGTGTGGGAGAGAGAGACAAGATCCGTACTTATGTGGTTGTTAAAACCCGCGAGGCGGCAGGAAGACCACAGTTACAGCAAAGGTCAGACGAAAATGCGAAGCCCACCGACATCCGAACTTCTTCTGCTGTCGGGTTTCACGATATGTGAAGTTCGGCAGCAGATGTTGCCAACGTCTGGAGGTCGGATTCGGCCAAGCATATTCGGTCAACCTGTTTCGGCAAAACGTCAAGTTCGGATCTGGGCGAACTTGGGTTGCTGTTTGAATCCACGGGGCACCTGGAAGGCCACAGTCAGATCAAATGATAGGTGGGAACGTGAAGTTCGCCAGGATCCGAACTTCACAAGGCTGCGAGAGAGAGAGAGACAGAGATAGAGAGAGACAGGATCCATGCTTGTGTTGCTGTTCACGAGGCACCAGGAAGACCACAATCGGATCAAAAGCCAGGTGAAAACGCGAAGTGCACTCGGATCTGAACTTAAGGAGGGTGCGCGAGAGAGAGATAGAGAGAGAGAGAGACGAGACTCGTGCTTGTGTGGTTGTTAAAATCCAGGAGGCACCAAGAGGACCACAGTCACATCGGAGGTCAGACGAAAATGCGAAGCATCCGAACTTCAACTAGTGTCGATGGAAGCATACGTACTTCGTTGAGACTTACCGTTGTGAAGATCTCCTAATACTGGGTGGAAGTGCGGGGCTGGAAACCACCGCGCGGGACGCTGTGGCAGTGACGAGACGTGCCGACAACGGATGCGAAGCGGTCAAGCGGCTCGTGTCCCTCGCATGCAAGGCAACCCGCTCCGCAAGGTCGACGAGTGGCGTGAGAAATGACGTGGGCGCTTCGCGATAGGGACGCAGAAGACGCTCCAGGAAACAAGCAGGCGTGGGCATGCGCAGTGATGACACGCTCGGTGGTTGTGACAACAACAGAGGACGCACGTCTGCGGCTTTCGGGCGGCGAGTGTTGGTGATGGCGTCAATCACCGCGAAAGACAGGCGATGGCGTTGACGACGACGAGAGTGTGGGACGTCAGTTCGACAGCTTCTCTCCAGCGAAATGAGAAAAGGCGAAATGAGCGTTGGGGGGGGCGACTTTGTTTTATGGGCTTCCGCAGCTAGGCCCGCCGCTCCGACTGGACAAGCTTTTTCGAGATCGTGTTCAGGCGGTCATCGTGTCTGCAGGCTTGTGGAAGTGACGACCATGGTGCCATCGGAGTGCCTTGGGAACCGGTTCGGGAATGTGGCCAAATTTCATCTGCGCGAATGTGCGAGGCCTTGACGGCAGCAGGCCTCCGCGCGCTTCGCAAAACTGACGGGGTGTGGGCTCCACGAAAAGGGGTGTCAAATTTGTGAGGCTTTGACGAGCCGTCTGATTCGCCGTTCGGAAGACCAAGACCCAAGACGAGCGCACCGCTTTGAGAACGTCATGATGCGCAGTGGAGGTCGTTTTCACGATGCGCGATGCTGGCCCACTGTGCTGGTCTGTGGAAAACAATTTTGAGTGTGGCCTCGAAGGGCCGTTCGACTTACGCATCGGACGGTTGAGACTCACGAGGGCATGTGGAAGGTTGCGCTACGAGACGGTCGTCGGGCTGCGGGGCATAGCTTCGCTCCGCCACTATCGCCACGCAGTCGCTCCGCCATTCTTCTGAAACATTCTTCGAAGACATCAACCACGTTGCGCCAGCGGCACCGTCCTGCGCGAATGCGCAGCGTTATCGCCATCGACGACAACACAGTTCCAAGGTGCGGTGGGATTCATATCGTGAACACATCCACGCCGCCCACGCGTGGACACGTGGTCATCGTCTGGGAAACATGGTGGGTGCCACATCGTTCGCGCCCTGCTCTCACCGCGTGTCTCAGGTGCATGATGCGCAACGAAGGCATGCAGATTTGTTGGAGGCCGCGGCGCTTCTCGCTCATAACCACGCCCACCACCACCAATGGGGGACGCAGCGCTTGGCCCTCATCATCGGGCTCCACGTCATCAGATGGGGACCTCGTTCCGCAACGAGGCCATGGTTCGATATCAAAGAATGGTTGTCGACCGACACTCCCGTCTTCTTCCCGTGTGTGGCGAAGGTGCAACACCATTCCCCTCTCGCCACGTGTTCATTGCAGCAGCCTTGTTGTTAACACGAGGTAGAAGGGTTCAACGCTTAGCGTTCATCACCGCTCCCACCAACTGAGATCGTCTATGGCATCAACGCAGTACCGTGATTTCTCCTGTCCTGGTGCGCCACCACGTCGACGGGAGTTGAGCTCGCACTCCTTCCACCCGCCATTAACCTGGTCTCAACGGCAAGCCTGTTGCGATCAACGCGTGGCAAACGGGGAATCGTGTTGCACCTTCGCACACACGCCGAAAAGCGATTTGCGGGCGTTCTCGTCGCAGGGCGATTGGGGGGGATACGGATGTGCTCTTCAACAGCCAATGGTCACGCGGAGGTGGGCGCATTGTTCGGTATCGAAAAACGCCGTCGCGTTAGATTTTCCTACGAAGGCATGGTTAGATACCGAACAATGATCCCACGCCCGCGCAATAATTGTCTGTCAGCATCCCAACCTCAATGTTTTCCCCCATTATCTCGCTGTCATGAGGACGCCCGCAAATCGTTTTTCCGCATGTGAGCGAAGGCGCAACATGGTTCCCCGTTCGCCATGTGTTAATCACAACAGCCTTGCCGCTGAAACAAGGCAAAAGAAGAACATGATAAACTTTCGCTTGTGCGCGCACATGCGGCTTGCGCGAGGTTCGTTCTCGCACGATCATTGTCCGACGCCCTCGATGCGACACAAGATTTCGTGTCATGGTCGTCAACGTCGGGAGGTGATTCCTTTGCGGAGGAGGTTAATCCCTAGAAGCACGAATCACTGGTGGAGGTGCCGTTTCAATCAACTCGTGGTTGCGCGCTCGTCACTAACCGACTGCCCAGACGTGTGCGCTGAGCATCATGCCGATGAACGTATCAGACATGAAGGTGATGTGGCCATGGGATGGCGACCGCACGTGCCGCCTTCGGAACTCGTGTCGGCCAGTTGATTGTGTTAGTTCGCTGAGGTCCGAACTTCGCTAGCCAGGCTCACCACTTTCATCGTATTCGTTCCACACGTGTCATTCACAGTTGTGCTCTTGCACAACTGGATGTAATGCCACTGTTAAGGTCTGTCGTTCGAGGTGGTGGCTGCGAAGTTCGGATCCCGGCGGACTTGCTGAATTCACAACTTTGGCCAAACGGGGGCAGCACAAGCATACCGCTCCGCTTCCCGAAAAACTTGGATTTCATAATTTCGGATTCTGTGGCACTTTGAACGACGCGCTCGCAAAAAAACGCTTCTATCTGACATTTCTCAAACCCATAACTAACATGGGACGCATTTGTCGAGTAACTGGTGCCCCATTTTTCGGATCCCGGCGGACTTGCTGGCGTTGTCAGTGGCCGCGTCCGTTTTTGGTCTGTCGTTGGTCTTTGTTGCCCTCCGAGGGGTGCAATCATCGCATTACGTGGAAACCGGTTGCTGCCAAGTTCGTGTCTTGGCGTGCTTTGCGGTTCTCGCTCTCATATGTTGACGTTGCCAGTGTGCGAGCTCGCCTTGTCGATTTGGAGGCTCGGGGTATGTTGGGGTTGAAAAGGGGTCTTTCAGCCATGGTCACATTTTTTTACTGCGCCACGATGATCTTGGAGTTCCACGCTCTGTTCTCGTCGTGCCTGTCAAAACCAGCACGGATTGCAATAGGAATGACTAGAACAGCGCACGAGCTCGCTTTGTCGATGGGGAGAATCTCGGTTTGCAGGGGTCAATTGGAGGCCACGGTGCGCCGTTTTGTAAGGGGGTGCACCCACAAATAGCCTTTCCTCTGTGCGTGCTCTGGTCCAACAATCCAGTCAATGCAGCCGACCGTAAACAGGTTCTTGGTGCATCCCGCAACCCCAAAGTTCGGATCCCGACGAACTTTTGAGCTCCGGAACCGGTTCACGGCAACCGACGAATAACCAGTTCGTCGTCGATTCAGTTTCTGGCAAGTTCGGATCCCTGCGGACTTCTATGATCCACGGTCGTTGAATCGGTTCTCGTACCCTCCCGAATTATACTAGGACGCGTCCTCCTTCGCACTCGTCGCACACCGCCAAAAAGATTGGATCGACATATTCAGAACAAAGATTCACACCAAGCCCGTCACACAACACTTGCAGGCATCGCGAGGTAGACATAGTACAAATGTCGGGCGGCCTCAGGCTTCCTCATAACGACTAGCCATGTGTGAGATCGCAAGCAATCGAAGTGATGGCATACTATGTGCTGCCCATACTCAAGTGGCCCTCGACGGTATCGAGGATCACGTTCGACACTCAAGTAATGGCTGACACGCACCTTAAGGGACTAACCTCTCGACGCTAGACAACCGCCAAGGCGGTTGCGGGACCTACCCTCTTCAGCAACCAAACTAACGGAGTGGTAGGCGGGCCAAGGCCCTTTGTGGCAGCTGGGTTCCATCATTGAAAGGCCTGTGAACAGGTCAAGGGGTTTGACATTGGCAGCTGCTACGGACTTTAACATCCAACTAAAAAAAGTATAAAAAGCAAGCGGTGAGAGGGGAACTCCTTTTTCTATCAAAGCAAGAAATATTTGGATGCTCTTCGACATATACAATTGATGCATTCGAAGGATTCCGATCTCTGCCAACGTCAGATGTTGGCGCATTTTGCATGGTGCGGTTTGTCGGATCGTTCGTGTCACTCGACTGCCAATCCGCGCCTTCCTTTTGCGCCAAATCGGTTGCAAGGGCTCCCATCGCCAAAAGACGGGCTTGCCATGTTCAAATGCTGCGTCGGGGATTGGGTTTGGGGATGGGGGGATTTTTGGTATTCGCGCTTACAGTTTACTCCGCAGTTTTGTAGGGTGTGGCGACGATTTCGAATTGCCCGTTCACTCCGCACTGGAGAGTTCGATCGATTTTCCTGACGGGAATCGCATCCACGTCTTTGACGGCTACATGACGACGCTAAGGGCGGTTCAATGAACAGCCGCATGAACCGGACTATGGAAACCAAACAGGCCGTCGACTTACATTTCCATCTACAACACCTAGAGTTGGCCCCGACGAGCTCTTCTGACAGTCCGTCATTACAACAGTCCAATGTTGCGATCCCCAGAAAGTGAAGTCTCACTTTTCGTGAGAACTTTGGAGGTTGCATCCAATTGCCTACGGGTTTGGGGACACAGTCCGCAGGTGGAGAGTCGTCTGCATCCTGAATCGAGTTCCACATTCCTGACGAGATGGACCCCGCAAATTCGGCTCACAACAGTTGCGTGCCGATGACAGTTTCTTTTACAACCTCTGATAACGAGAGTGAGAAGTTGGTGGCCACTGATTACTCGTCTGGACAACAGTCCTCTTCCCGTGCATCTTTGCTTCACGCTAGCTCAAGTAGTATGAAGTTGGTTGCCACCGACTATTCTTCAGATGAATTTTCCACCGCACGGGTGAGTCAACGCAAGTGCGAACTAATGATGCATTAATTTCAGTTCAGAGTCAGTCTGGGTCGGAAGTGTCTAGCAGGAGCGATGAAGAGAAAAGGGCAATGCTACAAATTTTGCCTGCACGTCTGCTGGGGGAGAGACGATCGTATAGCATGGCTAATAGGAACGCTAGGAAGAAAGAACAATACAAAAGAGCGAGAAACATATTGTCCAAAAAAAAACTGCTCATGGTGCATGGCATGGCATTTTGCAAAGCACGTTATTGGTACGACGTGTCGCCTAAGGAAGTCCGAAAGGTTAAACAAGGACTGTACAGTAAGAGTTCGGTAGAACGAGCTGATTGGTTGATGAAAAGTATTAAAGATTTCACGCTAAATGAGGATGGACACAAACGTGTCCTCCCTGTAGTGTTGGAACATTCGTTGTGAGTCAAGGCGTACTGCAATGGACTCGGTGTCTCGAGTAATACAATTTATAGCTACAAAAAGCGCTTCGACAATGGCTTTGTGCGTTCCGAGCATGGCCTGGCGGGTAGATATCAGCCTACCAATAAAACGGTTGCCATGCTTGCGAGCATAAAAACGTTCATTGATTGTCATACGGACAGTATGCCGAATGAGGTGGCTGACTAAGGTGGGGTTTCCAGACCGAAACTTCGACTGCCAGCTGCTTTTACGAAGAGATCAATTTACGAGTCCATCAAATCAGACTTTGTGGCTGCTGGCCTCGAGATCGTGTCTGAGTCGAACTTCTATAAAATGTGGCGAAAACATTTTTTCCACGTTTCCCTCACGCACCGTTTGTCATGAACTGAAGGAACGTGTACAATATGTTGTTCTTCCTCGAGATCGAGAGCGAGCACGAGAGAATATGAAAGCTCACCAAAGGCGGCAAGTTGAACTCAGATTAGACTATAATCGAGCGAAGATTGATTTGATGGTCCATCCGAACGAGCGTTTGTCTCTCATCATTGACGGCATGGATTAGAAGAAGACAACTATCCCCCATATTGGTCAGGTGAACAACTAGAAAACACTTAGGCACGAGATGATGATGAAGACGAATTTCCCACATGTCATTGCACACGGTAGAGACCCTAGTATTTATGTCTACACGTGGTTTCCGTATTTCAAACACGATTCGAACACAGTCGCTACTTGTCTTATGAGAACCCGTGTCGAAATTCAAGGCAGCGGGACGCCACTGCCACCGTTTTTGCGCATTCAAGCAGATAATTGTTGGCAGGAAAATAAGAACAAGTACATATGT